GCCAGTTGCCTTTTAAAGGCAACTAAAATTTTAGAGTCAACCCCTACATATCTATCAATAAAGAAAAGAGTGAACATTATTCTTTCTTTTTTGGATTATGAAAATTTGACTTTCGTACACTTTGATACACTTTGCTGATCAAAGCAAAGTGTAAACATACATTTTGCTTATTGAAAACAGCGTGTACGGTACATTTTATTTTTGATTTGCATTGGAAACACTGATAGGAGGTATTCATTAAATGAGTATGACGATAATCAATGTTGGTATAACAAAACCAGAATTAACAGTATTAAATTTCTACATTACATTCAACTCAGAGGATACTAATAAGCAAAATGCTTTTTTTTTGTTGTTGTATGATGGAGTTGAATTACGTAAAAATATTCAAAAAAGATTTTCTTATGAAAATAACATGAATCATATGACATATGTTTTGATATCATATTTTATAAATTCTATTGTCGTGGCCGAATTTTCAATAACAAATCGTCGATATGAAGCGCCATCTTCACTTTGCCATTGATCATTGGTCAAATACTTTCATATATGAAAATCTCTTCGATACTTTGTTTTAACAATAATTGAAAAAGTTTATTATTTCAGATGAGTTCAAAAAAACAACTTCCAAATATTATTATATGTGGAACATCAAGTATGTTATCGTTGTTATTTATTATCTCTTATTTATTTTTGTTGATGCCTTAGGTGTGGGCAAATCTCGTCTATGTCAAGAATTATGTTCATCTAATAAATTACTGAAATATATAAATATAAATGATTTAGCTAAAAAAAATAAATATCTTTTTGAATATGATGAAGAAAATCAATGTGAAATTCTTGATGATGATGCTATTAATGATTATATTTATGGTACATATTTTCAAAAATTATTACCATCTGGTATTGTTATTGATTATCATAGTGCAGGTATAATACCTGATAATAATCATATACATGGTATATTTGTTTTACGTTGTAATAGTGATAAATTATATGAACGATTAAAAAATCGAAATTATTCAGAAAAAAAAATTGAACAAATTATTCAATTTGAAAATTTTCAAGTATGTCTTCATGAAGCTCAGGAAGCATTTGATGAATCAATTGTTCATGAACTTATTAATGAAACAGAAAATGATTTAAAAAATAATATTAAATATTTATTAAAATGGATCGATCGATGGCCATTAATTGATATTATTGATTAGAAAAGAAATATTTAGTTTTCTTTTTTTCTTTTTTTTTGTTATTAAAAGTCATTGTTTATTTAATACTAACGAACGACACATATATTATATATATTCATGCACTTGAAAGAAAATGAGTTGAATATTGATATTCTTTTCAGACCTTCGAATGGACTGAATTAACTCTTGAGTAAAACACAAAATGTTTAATAGATATCGAATGTTTTCTTAGAAAAATTGTTTTTCTTTTCATCGGTTCAACATTTTTGCAACAAACAATGAAAAATGTCTTATACTCACACTGCCAATCGCACCCACCGACATCATTAAGTATATAGTGATGCATCTGTGATGAATGTAAATTTGTCAATTGATAGAAAAAAAGTAAGTGTTTTCTAATCTTGACTTATTTCTTTTGACAAATTAGTGAAGAAAGTATAAAAGAAAATTTCATTAAAAAAATTATTTAATCGCCGCTTGGAAATTTTTGCTCGTAACCCATACTTAGGTAGCATAGTAATGCGAAATGTCGGGAACAATCTTCTGACCGGCTTCTATTTCGAAGTTACATCGTTGAACTAGCAGTGCTAATATAACTTTGGCTTCAAGTAATGAAAAATTCTGACCAATACAATTATGTGGTCCAGCTGCAAACGATAAATAACAGAACGGATGAGACAATTTTGTTTTGAGATCTGTTACAGGATCTCGTAACCAACGGGTATAATCGAATTCGACACCAGAACTCGGCTCGTCGATGAAGTATATAAGTATTGGTTAAAACTCTTGCTCCAACAGGAATACGCATCTGACGATTGCCTTTATTACTTATAGAGTATTCCCGAATATATTGTCGTTCGAGAAAGGGTGCTGGTGGATAAAGACGCAATGTCTCTTGTAAAACAGCCTCACATACCATCAACTCGTTCATATGTTCATATGTGAGTTCGGTACCATTAGGAAGTACTCTATCGACTTCATCTCGACAAACTTGCAATACTTGTTCATTTGTCATAAGTACGTACATGGTCCATGTCATCGAATTGCTTGTAGTTTCGTGACCAGCAGCTACAAAAGTCAAAGCTTGATCTTTTATTTCATGGTCGGTGAACTGGTGTCCTTGTGCATCAACAGTCGAAAGAAGAAGATCGAGAAGATCTTCACCAGAACATAGACTAGTTGATTTTTCATGTCGACGATGGCAATAATCTGATTGACAAATTTAGAGATTTCTCGAGAACCTTTATCTAAAATATCCTTTCGCCAATAGGGTAATTGTGCAATCTATGGTATGTAATCGATCATGTGTATTGTTCGATATTCCATTGCTTCAAGTACTTCTGTAAATGTTCGACATACAATTTGTTCGGCATTAGGTATGGTTTCAAATCCTTTACCAAATGCACTCGATGCAATAATTGTGAATGTTAAAGCATTAAGTTCAGTTTGTAAATCAACAACTTTTTGTTGAGATGATAATAAAAGTAATTCAACAATAGCTTTAATTGTTTGTCCGACCATAATAGAAATCATTGATTGAAGTTTGATAAAGTGAAAAGCTGGATTGAGCATTTTTCGAGCACGTTCATGTTCGGCTTCCTCACTCACTAAGAGATTATCTGAGCCAATCAGAGGTTTACAAAAATGGTTTCATGTCGGATGGTTTTCGATAATCTTCAGCATGTGTGCGACCGAAAATATCAGCAATCATGTCTGGTTCAATAACAGATAAACGTATAGTTGGACTAAATCCTGTGAGATAGACGTACCCATGTTTTTGAACAAGTCCCATTCGATATTCGACTCCAGCATCTTTTTCAGATGCACGACGCATTTCAGGCAATTGACCGACGAGTGGTACAAAAGGTTCGCCTGGTATGCATTGACTACGAAAGTCATCATAGAAACGTTTTTGTGGACGAATCCAATTCCAATAAATGATGAAGACTATGAAGGAAACAAGTAGTACAATGGTATATAGAAATAGAAGAAGAGTCATATTACTGTGTCTAGAACAGTCAAGATAAGAAAACAAACAATTTTATACGACGATAATGACAATGCAAAACTGACATTTTTCTCTTCTGCCACAAAGAACGATTATCTTCAGTAAACGTGTTTCGCAAATAGCGGAGAAAACGAAAAAAAAAACACTGTCATCCATCGTCATTACTGCTAACAGCCATCGATGACTCAGAAACAACAAAGTTTTGTTTGACGTTCTGTTTGTGCATTCTTCAAGAATGACAAATGTCAATCGTAGTTACTACTTCTAACATTCTCCATCGATTCAACAAAAGAATCATCGCTGTGATTACTAAATACTCAGACAAATAACTAAAGAAAAATTGAAAATGCACAAACTCTTCGAATAATATTTTTTCCATGACGAATGATTACTAGTAGAAACATGAAAATATAAACATTGAACCAGAAAAAACAAGCACATATCTTTCAAATATTTGCTTTAGGTCGTCATAGACTGTTTTCAAATTAATCACAGTTAACTCCAGAACTTTTTCATTACATTGAGAGTTAAAGTGAACTCATGAAGAATTTCGCTATAAGAAACTATTTATTTCTTCAAACAGAGGTGACTATCGAATAAGTTTTATGATTCACAAATTCCTCTCTCCGCAAATTCTAACTAAATTAAAGAACACGAATGTATGATCAATTTGTTTTTACATTCTATTGGCAGCTTTTACAGATGGATATCATTATCTCTTCAATGTTTTAAAACAAATCCATCATATTGTATAGTGAGAGAAAAATATTTGAAATCCTTTCGTAGTTACTTCAATAACCTTTATTCTACATTTGACTCCACTGATTTTGTATTGGTTTATTGAGCTTGAAGAACATATACGTGAGTTCCATATTTCAGCCCCAAACGAGCTGCGTTAGCGAACTTTTTGTATTGAAACAGTTGGTTTTTGTAATTAACAAATCATTTTGAAACATGTAATTGAATTCTTATTCTCATTACTTTCATTTGTCTTTACTTGATCATTAAATAATGTATTCTGTGTTTTTAACAGTTTTTTCATAAGCCAAGTATATTTTTTCTATCATCAATAATAATGTCAAAAGAGATTACTCCCGATTACGGAAACAATACATTAATGTTTAATGATAATAAAAGAAAAATAATTCTTTGGAACATTCTATTTGACATAATCTTTAAGATGAAAACAACGAACGTCTTCCTCATATATGTCTTCTTTTTGTTTTGATATCATCTCTTTTTACATGAATAGTATTCAATATGCATATAATCGTATGTTTTCTTTTAAATACTAGAGTTTCATGTAAGAATATATTCTAATAGATATAAAAACATTATGCAATAGTTCATGGAAAGAAAAAAAAATATGTATTTTTGATAGAATCATTAATGCGTATATTTAAATCAGCAATATTCCCAAGATTCATTTTGATTTTAATCATCAAATATACGTTGAGAAAAATCAATTTGTAATAGTTTAGTGAAATTCAAGCAATTGGACAATAAAAACTCTACATTATCTTGATTTTCTTTTCAATACTACAGTTTATTAGTTTTGATAATAATAAGATCGATAATGGCTCCTGGATTTTGCCAATTGTTAGAAAAATATTACATTAGTGGAAATTTACTTTGTCAACTTCGTACACTGATAGTGATACGTTATATACTTATTTTGATTAGATGGTAGTTCGATAGAAGTCCTTCATCTAGAAGTTTAGTTAGTGGTTATTAATCGAATTTTGCTTTCGGAATATCAGTTATCTGTGTTAAGCTGTCGCATGCTTGATATTTTCATTCAAAAGAGATCGTTTTGCAGCAATAAGAGCCACGTTTGTTTTGTTTCATTACAAATACTAAGTCAAATGATAGGGAATCTGAATGTGCAGCTACAATTGAAGTGCTGTTATCGTGGCGGCTAATGAGATTGAAAGGCTTGAAGAAGATGGATGATGCTGAGAAATTTGGATAGATCGAGCAACAGCTCACTGATCAATGACTTTAAATCTATATTTCTTTCCGAACTGCAATACGACACAAGCGGTAGAAGTTGATATTAACTGTAAAAGTGTTGTAATTAATATAAGTTAGATCAAAAGACAAAAGATAACGAGCATACTCAATTTTTTTTCTTTCTGATAACAACTTGCTCTTTGTAAACTTGCTTCTACATTGTTGATACACTAAAGACTAAAGGGACACGAAAAACAAGCCATTACGATATCTCACGTCTTTCGCAGACTGATACAATGCATCTCGAAATTTGCTTATGTAATGGTGCAAAAGGGACGTTAATCTATTCTTATCAATTGTGAGAGACGACAAAGATCGTTCCTCCTACAGAATATAATTTGTCAACTGTAGTAAAATCCGCAAATCATGAAATAGTTCACTGGGTGTCATGTGTTGAATATATTATCTATAAGAAATCTTATTGAAACTTGTTTTAATGATTAAATAATGGAAGCGAACATCATATTCGTTAATGGATACTGTTGACAGAATGTTATTCATTGTTTTACCACTAAGTTAAGAGCGGGGTGGGTGTCTGCGTCTTCTCTTCACTCATACCAACATCCTCTAAGCCACTTGAAAACTGAATAATATAATGACACATCTGTGTGGGTGTGAGTTGGATGTGCATGTGTGGGCACTGGTATAGATGTGGGTTCCAGTGTCGGTGTCGATATGCGAATGGGTAGTTTTTCAACAACATTTCACACGTACCAATACCCCACATCCACACCCACTCACACTCATACTCATCCCTACCCATATTATGTGCAGTGGTTGATGTAATTTCTTGAAAGTCTATATTTGCGTTTTTGTTTCGTTGTTTTCTATTTTTGCTTTTGTTTTTGTCGTTAGCGCTTCGTTTCTCACCTCACCCACTTTTCGTATCTTTCTGTTATCAATGTTATGTTGGAAGAAGCAGTACTGATAGAGGAAAAAAGCATACAGCGATTGCCTTCATTTGTTTTTTCAGTTTTGTCGTTTTAATTTGAAATATGGCTGATGCATTTTCAATCCATCGTTTTGTGGACGCTGGCGAAGAGCCCATTCAAACGTTAGTGCCTATCGAAGGCTACGAGAAGAAAAATTTGTTGCCACTCAAGGAAGCTGTTGAATCAGCACAAACGTGGTTGTATAATCTGGACATCATGGTACACACAGCTTTACAGAACTCCAGCGAACCACCANTATTGCCTTAGTAAAATATTCAATATTTATTGCTTTATTAAATTTTAAAAACTGTGATCAGAACTTTTGGTATACCCTAAGTATATAGGTGAAAGTAGTGGTGGAGGTATTTTAATTCCTAATGAAAAGCTTAAAGAAACTTCCCCTTTATATACTCAGTCTGATAGTAAAAACAATGCTCTATTTTTCTATGGTATTTCATCATTCCTTAACTAATATCAGAATAATAAAATTTCAATCAAACCTGTTTGGTTATGATATGTGACACTTTAATTAAATAGTTCATATTGACTTCGATATGTATTCTTCTCTCTTCTCTTCAGTCTCTTTTCTGTTCCCTTTTAATGCCTAGCTATCAACATATATATATATAAAGACTCATGTTCTGTTTACTTTGTTTTCATCTATAATTTATTAGAATGCTTTCAGGAAAATTAAAGAAATAATATCAGCTTAAACTTTGACATTGTTCATTTCTGTTGTAGACGAATAGGAAAAACTTTTACTTCTACATTAAAGTGTGCACTGTACTTTATATTAAAGCAATAGTTATTCATGACGAATTATGCTCTGTTCGTGGTAACACAGCTTTGTCTCCTAGAATATTTGAAAGTTGATCTAAATGGTTTCATTGAGGTTCATAAGAGGTTGAAGACAAAATACGAGTAACTTGTTTCTCTATATCGTTTTTGTTCCTCCACTACTACTTTTTAAATATCCTAATATCTATAGACAACTATGCATTTTACGAGACGAGAAAAAAAGAATGAAGAATTTCGTTCAAAACTATTGTTCTCGTTGTCGAAAACTGAAGAAGTATATGAAAATCTCAATCTTTGATTGTTTATATAGTCACAAGAAAGATCTTGACCTCTCCGCTGCACTAGTTGACAATGCCTTGAATATTGGTCATCGTATGTTAGTTGATCAGTATTGTGAAAATTCACAAGTCTTATGAATAGTCGAATACATTCGCTGTACCACTCAGTAGTGACAATGATCTAGAACTCTTTGAGTTTTATCCTTCTGTAAATACATTATTTACGTAAACATTCTTAAAATGATAATAGATGTGTTTTTCTTGCATATTAGTACAAGCAGATGATACATTTTCCTCGACTTAAAGAAATGAGTGCCATAGAGTAAAGAACACTTATTCACGATATATTCACACTGCACATTATTTTTCTTACATCGACATTGTCTTGTTGGCAGTGTTGACTTTGGTGCGCCATTTGCATTGCACTCTCATATCAAATTACCTTAGAACATAATTGACTCATACATGAAGATAGTTCATTTTGCGCATCTATCATGGCGTCATTTGCCATAATTCGTATATACGATTGATTAGAAAAAGAAAAAGATCGTCATTCTACTTCCTACTAGCCTAGGTGCTTATCAGAGTATACAATTATTATTCCTCATTACACTAAACAATATGAGTCTTATTGCTCTTCTTTTCAATCTTCTTATTTTTGGTTACTGTTCGGCAAACAACTGTGGCTCGAACTAACAAAACAACAATTGTTCATCATGTCCGTGCGGTGCCACAACAAATTTTCAAGATATTACGATTTGGTGTGCCAAATTTAGTGATTGAGATTAAACCTGTTCCCGTTGCATCGTTAAGAAAGAATTAAAGAGTAACGCCAACGCAGTCAACGACAATAGTGCTAAGTTGGGCTTCGATATTGGCCTCTGGCAGATCAATCAATACTAGAATTGCAAAACGTGTAATGATGGTAAAGGATCTTGTGATCCGGATATCAACCTGGAGTGTTTCAAGA